ATGTGTAACCTGAAAGCTGAAGATCTAGGGTTTAGGTAGGAGTTACTTAGATGAGGATGGAAGGAAAGAGTGTACCAGTGATGGAAACATGCAGTTTTGAGACAGGAAAGAGCATGTTGCTTTCACACAGAGGTGTGGGTAGGATTTAGGGGGAGAGGCAGAAGGTAATAGCAGAAGCTGCTAATCAAAGGTCTTCTAGGTGCTTTGACTTACTTCATGAGCCAGGAGGAGACATTTGAAGAGTTTTGATCAAGGAGTGACCTAACCTTGTATAGGAATATATGTAAGGATGTGTGGACTGATACATTATAATCCATAGTTGTACATTATATGTAAAATCATTATGTGGAGTCACTGGAGCTATACTGTAGAAACTCAACTTGAAAAAGATCAAGAGTAAATGTGGGAAACTAATGGTCAAGCCAGCTGGGACACAATGGTTGCTTGAAGTAGGAGTGTTGGTGATGGTGGTGGTGGTGGAGGAGATACAATTTGGCAGAATGTGAGATGCTTAGGGCAGGAAATCAACAGGAAATTTTTAGTAGTAAAAATTATTCCTGATTTTCTGGGGCGCCTGGGTGGCTCAGTCCATTAACCGTCTGCCTTTGGCTCAGGTTATGGTCCCAGGGTCCTGGGATTGAGCCCAACGTAGGGCTCCCTGCTCAGTGAGGAGTCTGCTTCTCTCTCTCTCTCTCTGTCCCTCCCCCTGCTCCTGTGTGCACTCTCTCTCACAAATAAATAAAATCTTTAAAAAATTTTTCCTGATTTAAAAAAAAAATTTTTTTTTGCAGAAGAGTTTAAAAAGCAAAGAGATGAACAGTGAGGCGTATGACCATAATAAAGCCACCCCAGATCTCAATACAGCATCGTTAGCGAAAGGAAGTTGTTTCTTAGAAAGTATATTGCTATGAAAACAAGAAAACCCTACCCAAACTAATACATGAATTCAACAAATTTATAAGATGACAGGGTCATTGTATGAAAGTTTAATTCATTTCTGTATATTACCAATGGCCAGTACAGAATGGAGTAAAAATACTATTTACAGTATAAGAAAAGTTTACCAAATATCAATAAGTAAAGGTAATGAAAGACCTATACACTGTGAACTGCAAAACGTATCTGAGAGAAGTTAATGGAGATGAAAATAAATGCAGTGATACAGTTTGTCCCTGAGTTGAAAGACTCACTCAAAATCAAAATCCCAGGAATCCTCAAATCCCCAAAATTAATGATTTGACTCTAAAATCTATATGGAAATGCAAAGAACTTAGAGTAGCCAAAACAGTATTTAAAAAGAACAAAGTGAGGGGCACCTGGGTGGCTCAGTGGGTTAAATCATCTGCCTTCAGCTCAGGTCATGATCCGGGGTCTTGGGATCGAACACCACGTCAGGCTCTCTGCTTCGCGGGGAGCCTGCTTCCTCCCTCTGCCTCTCTGCCTACTTGTGATCTCTCTCTGTCACATGAATCAATAAAATCTTAAAAAAATAAAAAAATAAATAAAAATAAAAAGAACAAAGTGGACGACTTACCTAGTTTCAAAACTTACCATAAAGTTAGAATAATCAAAATGGGGTATATTGATGTGAAGATATGCAAATTGATCAGTAAAATAAATACAGAGTCTAGAAATCTATCTACTATAGCACCATGTTAATGTAATTGGGAAAAGTCAAGTCTTTTTTTTTTTTTCACTTTGAGAAATACATGTATTTTTTTTCCCTCAAATTTTTATTTAAATTCCAGTTAACATTCAGTATATTAGTCTCAGATGTAGAATTTAGTGATTCATCACTTACATACAAACAGAATCTCAGATGCATATTGTATGAGTCAATGTATATGAAATGCAAGACTAATCTATGGTGACTAATTTATATTTGCCTCTGAAGATGGAGGGATGGATTTTAAAGGAGCATAAGGGGTCTTTCCGGAGTTTTATATCTCATTGTGAGTGGTGGATTCACAAGTGTTTACAGTTTTCAAGACTTAAGAACTGTACATTTTGTTATACCTCAGTCAACAAAAGAAAACCTCTTAAGCGTGAGCTAGACAGTTGCCCTAAATAAGGGAAGCAGACTGGGAATGAAGCCACAGGAAGCCATGAACGCAGTGATAGAATGGTGAGCCCCCTGGAAAGAGGCAGCCACCCCTCTGGTCCAGGCACAGGTGGGAATTGACGGACCTTCTGAGCTTTCCAGATAAGCTGATGTCTTTGTTTTCATGCCACATCTCAGTTGTAGAAATATTGGACAACTGAGTTTTCAAAAACTTAAGTATTTCATTTGGGGGGGGCGATGTACTAATATGAGATAGAATCAGAAAAAAATAAATGGCAGTGAAGGGCTCTACCTACTGTTTAAATTTTTCTAATTTATAGTGCTGCAAGGTCCTATTGGGTATTTACCCCAAAGATACAGATGTAGTGAAAAGAAGGGCCATCTCTATCCCAATGTTCATAGCAGCAACGGCCACAATCACCAAACTGTGGAAAAGAGCCAAGATGCCCTTCAACGGACGAATGGATAAGGAAGATGTGGTCGATATACACTATGGAGTATTACACCTCCATCAGAAAGGATGAATACCCAACTTTTGTATCAACATGGATGGGATTGGAAGAGATTATGCTGAGTGAAATAAGTCAAGCAGAGAGAGTCAATTTTCATATAGTTTTGCTTACTTATGGAGCAAAAGGAATAACATGGACAACATTAGAAGGAAAGGAAAAGTGAATTGGGGGAAATCGGAGGAGGAGACAAAGCATGAAAGACTATGGGCTCTGAGAAACAAACTGAAGGTTTTAGACTGGAGGGAGGTGGGGGGTGGGGTGAGCCTGGTGGTGGGTACTAAGGAGGGCACATATTGCATGGAGCACTGGTTGTGGTGCATAAACAATGAATCTTAGAACCCTGAAAAAATAAAATAAAAATAAAAGGGCAGGGGCACCTGGGTGGCTAAGTGGGTTAAAGCCTCTGCCTTTGGCTTGGGTCATGATCCCAGGGTCCTGGGATCGAGCCCCGCATCAGGCTCTCTGCTCAAGCAGGGAGCCTTCTTCCCCCTCTCTCTCTGCCTGCCTCTCTGCCTACTTGTGATCTCTGTCAAATAAATAAGTAAAATCTTTAAAAAATAAAAAAATAAGAGGACAAATAGGGAAATTAAATAAATAAATAATAAAAAAATAAAAATTACCCAAAAATAAACTAATTAGATTTTCCTAAAACATAAAAATAAAATGCTGCAAAGTTTAGCACCATTATTGACAGTGTCCGTGCATCTTGGTTAGGGTCGAACAGAGCAGCATTTGGCTAGCTGTCTTTGTTGAGTACTGACTATACTGTAGCTACTGGGGTAAGCCATTAAAGGGCAGAGTGCTTTCATTTATTCTTTGTTCTTTAACACAACTAATTTTGAGGAAGCCACTGCTAAGCAGCGGCAGGCGACATCTAAACCCCAAGGCTATTTTACTCTTTTTCTCATGCCCTGACCTTCTCATGTTCAGGGAACAACATCAAGGAGCAGGTTTATTCCTGGGATCAGTCTGGTAAATGCTGTAGGGATTTGAGTTTTGTATATTAGAATATATTGGTCACTTTTAGATGTCTGTGGTTCCAATCCTTGACCCATAACTGTATGATACTGTAAAAATTGTAAACTTTAAAGTAAAAGTTATAGGTATAGATACTGTATTGGAAATATTTTAGTGTTAGCACTTCAACTTGGAATTATTATTGTTTTTTAACTTAATGAAATTTATTCACCAAAACACACTGTAGGATATTCCTTGTTGCACTTATTAATTTGGTTAATGAGCATTGGAGTGTCTTCTGTGCTAGGAGTTTTGATACTGAGTTTCTGTGAGAAGATGAATAAGACAGAGCCCTGTGCTCACAAAGTTTGAAACACAAAGAGATTGCATTTACATTAAAGTAATTTATAATACTGACCACAAGACCGGTGGGTATGTCATTAATGTTAGATTTGCTATTTAACATTTGGAGATAATTATCATCATGATTTACTTCAGAGGGCTCAAGCTTCAACTTTTCTAATATCAAAAGAAACTGAATCTAATGTTTTATACCTATAAATTTTTCATCCTGCAAATATTTACTGTACTACTACTTTGTGTACAAAGTAGTACTTTCCGTACTACTTTGTGCCAGGGACCGTGATGTTTCCAGGGGATGTAGTATTAAACAGAGCAACTCCTAGCTTTGTCTTCAGGAAATTTACATCAGGATAATTTGTGGACCAACCTTGACTTATTCCTTTTCTTAAGTACTAAGTGCTGTGCTTTCTACCTTGTGGGTTTTTTTTTTTTTAATTTTATCTTTTAGTGTCTATTGGTATAGTTAATATTGTGCCACAGACACCTAGTAGGGAAGGAAGAAAGGTATACTGAAAAATTTGACTGCTGTGACACAGTAATAAAACACTAATAAAAGACCCCTCTATCCTAATTTAATAGTATTCTCTTCTTTCATTTCTTCTCCATAAACCAAATATGGAAACTTCTGTAATTTTACATTATTCTAAAGAAAAAGATGGAGATTCCTTATCTGTTTATGTGTTAAATTCTTGCTAACCAATTTGAAATCTATTTCTCTTGTGCTTGTAAATCCTTTAAAAAAAATTGCTACTGTTACGACTTCTGAAATAGTTTTTAAGCTTGTCACTCCCTTTTCACATCATTTTTGTGGCTCTCTCCTCCAGCTGTGGCCTGTAATTCTATGTACTGAAGAAAGCCCTGGTAGCACCAATGAGATTACCCTCTATTAGTGAAGTTCCATTGTGGGATCTAAAATGTGCATTGGTTTTTCTAATTCTTTGTATAATTTTATACATCTTTGCTGTCATAAATAATTTTTAAACCTGTAAAAATTGCTGCTAGTTAATTTTTTTGAGGCTATCCATTTAAAATGATCATTTCCTCAGAGGCAGGCTTTTGGGAAGTAGTAAAAATGTTGTTAAAAATGTCACCTTTTCTCTTTCCAGTTTTGAGAAATGGTGCTTGGGAAATTGTGCACTGGGAAAAGGTATGCATTGATTTTTTATTTTGTTCTAGAAGAATTGCATAGATGTGTACTCTAATAGATGGGATTTTTGTATATAATATAAACAAATGTCAAGGATTCTAATATGAAAGCTCTTTAGTAATTTATATTGTAAACATACATGGAGACTTCCAATTAGTCACTTCCATTTAGTAATTCTGCAATTTACTAGAAAGACTTAAAAAGTAATATTTGGAACTCTCTGTTTTTCATAGGATAATTTTGAGTACGTTTTCATAGATTTCATTTAACCATGAATTTTTTTGTGTTGAAACTTTTTGCTTTAATCATCTGCTGTCCAAGTTAAAAAAAAAAATCAGAGTTCTGAAATTTCATTTGCAAATTTGATTTCAAATTCATGTATTATGGCTACACCTTTATAATTCCTTTTTTTAAAAAAAGCTTACTAAGTAAACATCATTTTCTAATGAGCTGGAAATCGGTTTCATAATATCAAGAGGTTAATATGCTCACAGGATGTGTGCCATGGTTAGTGAGCTGAGTCATAATTTTATAAGTGTTATTATCTAGGTGCTTTTCAGACCTCATTTTCAAAAGGTAAGCCACTGTTACTAGTTCTCCTTAAGTCCTGGAAGACCATTTGCTCTGGTCATTCACAAGCGAATATTTGTAACTTGGTGAGACTTTTGGAGGCAAGTCCACTCTCCCTGAGGGATTTTGTTTTCTGAGATTGCTGGGCACAGCACAGTGGAGGTGTGATACAGACAGCATACTTGCCCTCCAGTATTTCCTAGCAGGTTAAAGGCTATGCCTTTAATACTGCCTTATGATGTTCATAGTTACCTTGTATCCCTGCAGGAATAGGATTCCCTCTCAGTTAATTGTGTTTTTATTGATTTTAAATCAATGGCCAAAATAGAGATTGACATCTCCCTTTCTGTATGTTTGGAAACTTACGACTCTCTCTCTCTCTGATCTTTGACATAAAAGTAACAAGGAGGAAAATACCTTGATTGTGCTTTCCCTATTTCTGCGATAGTCTCCTCTCAGAGAAGCAAGGTAAAAAATGAAAAAGCTCCAAAAACTGTCTCAAAAGAGATTTCCTTTATGCTCTTCTTCGGCACTTGTGGATTTAAACATTTTAGAAGACTGGTAGGATATAATCAAGTATGGTGAATTGTATTATAAATGTATTTCATTGACTAGGATTGTTTGGGTAAATAGCATAAACACATATCCTAAAAAACTGATGTAACAGTGTCTTACCATCTACCCAGAGTGCTTGTTCAGAAAATAAGCAGTCATAAAGTTAGGAGATAAGCATCCAAAACTTCACTCTTAAATTAATTTGTTAGGGAGTGCCTGGGGGGCTCAATCAGTTAAGCATCTGCCTTTGGCTCAGGTCATGATCCCCGGGTCCTGGGGTCGAGCCCTGTATCCAGCTCTCTGCTCAGCGGGGAGTCTGCTTCTCCCTCTGCCTTTGCCCTTCCTCACTACTCGTTCATTCTCTCTCTCTATTTCTCTCTTGTTAGAACATCTGATTTTTCTAATGTCTTTTTTTTTCCATTATTTCAAGACCGAGCGGATTACTGTAACTCTTCCAACTTTTCATAGACAAAAATTATTACCAGTCCATGATTACCCATAATGCTAGTATTCTCAGTGGTCTTGAAGATCAATGCCACACCTTACCTGGGCATCCCACTTTGAGAGGCAGAGGAAAAAAATTTAAAGTGCTACCAAAAGTCACCCAACCAAAATGAGCTCATATTACTTAGCAATTGGAATTAGATACTTAATTAAGTAGAATAATAAAAGTTGGTTCAATGATGAATTCAAGTTAAATATTAAAAAATTAATAGCATTCTTTGCAGGCAATATCAAGTTAGAAAAATACAAGTGAGAGATCTCATTCCTCATCGCATGGTGATGCTTAGAAATAAATTTAAAATACGTACATGACCTTTGTAAAGAAAACGTCAAAACTTTGGGTGTTTAAGATTCACATAAGTGGGCAAATATGCCCTACTCCCAGCAAACTAAAAATATCAATTGTTCCAAAGTAGTGATATAATCCCAGGGAAATTATTATTTTTTCCTCAAGAGTTGACTAAATTATTTATCTTAATTTCAAAAATAAACAGTTGAGAAAATAGACTATTTTGGAAAAATGAACTGTGTGCAGGGATGAATAAAATGAAGAGCAAAAGTTATTAAAATTGTGTGGATCTATTACAAAAATAGGCATGGGTGAACAGAGTAAAAATAGAATGAAAAAATATTTTCTCCAAAAATAGAGAAAAGGGACTAGGATGCTCTGAAGTAAAACCCATTTAATATGTGATAAAGGAGAGAAAATCCTTGATAAAAGAATTATTTAATAAATGATGTTGGGATCACAGATTTGTAGTCTCAGGAAATAACACAGTTTATATCTAACTCACATCCCATGCTAAAATAAATTCCAACTGGCTTAAGTTAAATGTTAAAACATTGTTTTTGAAAAACCTACAAACAGAATAAAAACTTTAATAAATATTTGGAGAAGAGGAAGATCTCACGGTCTCTGGAATTTGATCATATAAAATTTAGAACAAATACACAATAAAAACTACCACTAATAAGTAGGTACCATATGGAAAATAGTTGTACCAAGTATAACAAAAGACTGAAACTGCTGTCATATACAGTCATATACATAAATAAAAAAATGTCATATACATAAATAAAAGTTGGCAGTAAGCAAGAAGATCTATAATAAGCAGCCAGACAGTATAATATTCCACCTAGTAGTGAAAGTGGCAAATTTAAACAAGATTGATGTCTCATTGGCTATATTTATTCTTTACTTGAGGATTTTTGCTTTATGAACTATTTCATTCACATACTAATGTGAATTAGCAGTTTAGGTCATCATCCTGAGAACCATAAACACGGGATTCTGGGAATTTATCCCAAGAAGATAGTCATAATGTAAGGGGGAAAACCTGTACATGTACAAGAATGTCTACTGTAACATTATTTGCAATAATGAAAAGTTAGCCTATGTGGATATCCAACAATAGGGAAAGCATTTTTTAAAGGATGACATTCTACATTCTGGCATATTTGATGACACATTAAAGCTATAATTTCAAATACTGTGGCATCAGGGAAAAATTTTATACCGTTCATTCAATAAATATGCATTGAGTATCTCTGCCAGGCAGTGAACTACCAGCAGCTAGCAAGACATATGAAGGTTCCTGTGTCATAAAATATAATCATAGGTGAAAAGAACAGAGCCATGTATACTAAGACATCAACTACTTACAAATGGTTTCCTGGACACTAAGTGGACAGACGTGAAAGCAGACTTGCTTGTGGGGTTAGCCAGATTGTGGGGCAAGTCTTTTCTTTAAGCTTATGTCGTATTTTCTGCCATTAAAAATAAAATCAATAAACCAAAACCAAGAGTCTGATCCTCATGCCAAAGTAATACGATAAACCATAGTGCAAATGGGCTTTAGTTCAGGACTTGCTTTCTTTGTTTTTCTCATGTGTGGCTACTCTGGCGCGTTTTAATGGTCCTCAGAGGACCTTCAGATTTGCACAGGGTACATCCAGCCATTCACAGATGGGCCTACTTCAGCTCTCAAACATGAATGGTTTATCCCTCCGGTTTTGCCCCGAAGCCTTCCCTCTGTTGTATAAGGTTAAATTGCCAGTGTCTGCTTTTCCAAGAAGGTATCACAATTACAAAGCCCCATGTAAGACACTGCGTCTCCAAGCTTGACAGGTCAGCTACTGTCTTCCTTGCTCTTACCACCAGGGCCAGCTCTTCAAGGTCAGATGCTGCTGAGACCATTCCCAGGCTTTGGAGACAGGTGCAGATGGAGAATTTGGGAGGAATCCACACATTGTCCTGGCACGGAGTGGTGGGCTGTATGCAAGTTTCAAACTCTGCTTTAGTGCATGAAGTTTGCACCCTGAAATGTATTTCTTCAGATTAAGAATTTACATCACCAAAAATTCCTTAGTAAGAATAAATGTGCTGGGGCCTACAACTGGACAAAGATTTTAAGTCAGTCTATTCCATTTGAGAAGTTTATCCTTTTACATAATCCTCAGTTACAGGTGCTCATGTGGTGATTCGAGAAAGCTCCAGGCAAGTAGCCTGAAACCCTAAATATCTCCTTAATTCAGTATTTGGGGGACTAACACTGCTTTGTTGTGTCATTTCTCCACTGAGAAGATGTGGTCAAGGAATTTTTGCCATCTCAATTTCCCTTCTGTCTGTTACTCTTCTGCACAAACCAGGTGGGAAGAGGTGAATGCCACCCACATTAGGAGCTCAGAACAGAAAAAAGAAAGAGAGGGACTGGGGCACCTGGGTGGCTCAATAGGTTAAGCCTCTGCCTTTGGCTCAGGTCATGGTCTCAGGGTCCTGGGATCTAGCCCCACGTTGGGCTCTCTGCTCAGTGGGGAGCCTGTTTCCCCCTCTCCCTCTGCCTGCCTCTCTGCCTACTTGTGATCTCTCTCTCTCTGTGTCAAATAAATGAATAAAAATCTTAAAAAAAAAAAAAAAAAAGAAAGAGAGGGACTTGGATATGTTCGAGAAGTGATCTAAAACCTAGGTATCATAAGCGAGGAGCAAGTAAGTTCCCAGCTCTCCTTATACTCCTGCAAGAACTACTTCAGCTCTCAGTAAGCCTTTGCCAGGCCACTGAGTTCTGACATTAAACCTTATAAGGTGCTAATGGTTTGTTTTTGTCTTCAGCTTAATGACTACAAGCCTTGCTTTTGTCTTGAGAATGAATAAAGATGTTAGGAAAACAGCAGGATCAATTTGGGATTTTTTTTTACATCTAACCAGTAAACTCTTCCACTATAATGTAGACAAATATCCCAATTTTATGAAGCATCTAGTCTGATTAGAGAACAAACATGAACACACAAGAGGAGATTAAAGAACGTGTAAGTGGTTGCCTGGGCAGCAGTCTCTAAACGCTCCAGTGGCCTGACACTTCTTGATCCCAGGT